TCTGCCCCCAGCCCACCAGACACTGGTTAGTATCATGGAAGCTGCCAAAGTGGTTCTCTGGGCACTCTCGCCACACCAGATAAGTGCCAGCTTGTAGATGGCTATGGTAGTGGGTGCGTTGCCTATGTTATTCTAGTGGCAAAAGTTGTAAGTCCTCTTTTCATTACCTTGGGGACCAGCAGGTGGTTAAAGTGCTGGACCTCCATAGGGCAGACTATGGTGGTGGCTTGCTTTCTTATTCTCTCTCTGTCAGTCTCTCTCTGGTGAGTACACATGCCCTTAGCAAATTAAAAAAAATAATAACAATAGTTATAAATAAAATAATTCTTTTAAAAAAGAATAATCAGATTAGGAGTGGTTGACTTTAGAACAGTGCTATCCCAAAGAACTTTCTGTGATGATGGGAAGTGTTGTGTGTCTGTACTGTCCAATATAAGAGCCATTAGCCATGGGTGACTTATGAGTACTTTAAATATGGCTATGAGGGCCAGCTGGTAGTGTGGGATTTAAGGCGAATGGCTCCCCTATGGCCAACTGTGTGGTGTAGAGTCCTGGACCCAGTGGTCTGAAAAACACACGAAGCACGTGTGCATGCATGCCCGAAGCTCCCTTAACCACCAATTCATGGGGGCAGGCCCAAGGATATTTTATTTATTTTAATTTCTTTTTAAGTTTTTGCCATAGGGCATTTGTGGTCACTGGAGAAAGACACACACACACACACACACACACACACACACACACACACGGAGCAGGGGTAAGGGGGAGTAAAAAATCCCCTTCAAGGGAGGATGGACATGCCCCAATCCCATAGGGCAAGAAAGACACACACACACACACACACACACACACACACACACACACGGAGCAGGGGTAAGGGGGAGTAAAAAATCCCCTTCAAGGGAGGATGGACATGCCCCAATCCCGTTCTCCTCCATTCTCCTCTTGGGATTTTGGGCATGCATACACATGCACCCGATGTGATTTTCATACTGACAGGTCCAAGATTTGAACCACAATAGGCCATGTGGGAGTCCAGTGCCTTAATTACTATGCTACCTGCTGGTCCCAGGATATTTTATTTTAAAACCTCATTCTGCTTATATTAAATGTGTTAGCACTTTTCCTACACTTGGCATTGTCCCCTCTGCAGATTTACATATACAGTTACAACTCTTTTAGTTTCCCAGATATGCCAGTATAAAGGAGTCACCTACCATTGAAGCTATTGGGAGCTCTTTCAGCATATTAACCTTTTTTCTTTGTTTGCAGTAATCACTGGCCAGCATCGAAATGGTATAATTTCTGCTAGAACTCGCATCGATGTTCTTTTGGACACTTTTAGAAGAAAGCAGCCTTTCACTCACTTCCTTGCCTTTTTCCTCAATGAAGCTGAGGTTCAGGAAGGATTCTTGAAGTTCCAGGAGCAAGTACTGGAGAAGTGCTCAATGGTAAGCAGCAAGCAAAAGAAAAAGTTAAAAAAAAAAGTCAAATATTGAGACCAGCAGATGGTGTAATGGTTACATTGCTGGACTCCCACATGGCCGACCATGGTTTGACTCCCCAACCCAGAGGCTTTAAAATCATGCTGGGCACCTGTGCATGCATGTCTAAAATCCTGGGAGGAGAATGGAGGAGAAGGGATTGTGGTGTGATCATCTCCCTAGGGAGTGATTTCTTGCTTTCTCTTTTTCTGTCTCTCTCTCTTTCTGTTTCTCTGGTGAGTGCATGTGCAAAAATCTCTCACAAAAGAAGGTCAAATATTAAAAAAAAAAAAAAAAAGACGAGTGGGCCCCGTGGTCTACTGGTTGAGAGAGCCAGATCTTACCTAGCCAACGATAGTTTGAATTCTCAAGTGACTTGAAAAACATGCTGAGCATGTGTGCATGTGTGCTCAAAGTCTTGACAGGATGAAGCAGTAGAAAAAGAATTACAGTGTGACTGTGCCCTCCTGGGGAGTGCTTTCTCTCTCCTCTCTCTGTCTCTGTCTCTTTCCGGCAAGTGCATATGCACTCTGGTATTTAAAATCAAATAGTACAAAAATACTCATATTTTAATAGCAGGAAGATAAAGCAGCTTCCCCCACCAAAAAAGGTAACTGTATCCAATAGTTTTTTCCCTTCCTTTTTTATTTTCTTAGTTTTTTTTTGCCATAGGGCGTGTACACTCACTGGAGAAAGAGAGAGAGGGAAAATTAGCAATCTCCCTCTGTGGCGGGACATGGCCACACCACAGTCCCTTCTCCTCGGGCAATCTCCCTCTGGGGGGGGCATGGCCACACCACAGTCCCTTCTCCTCTGTCTTTCTCTTGGAATTTTGGCCACGCAAGCACATGCAACCTGTGTGTTTTTCAAGCTGCTGGGTCCAGGACTCAAATTGTGTAATCAATTAGCCATGTGGGACCCAATGCTTTAACTACCATGTTACCTCCTGACCTCTGTGATTTATTTCAATACAGAACTGAAAGAAAATGCACAGACATATCAGCAGATGAATTTCTATGCATTACAGAAATATCTTCTAAAAATTTCAAGATTAAAAAAAAATCATTCTGATATATACACTACTCTGCACCTTTGGACTGACAGTATTAATGAGATGCTGTTATCTTCAGATCATTTCCTTTGGGTATTCCTGACTTAGTAGCTAAAAGACAAATTTGCATATAGAATTACCATACCTTGGGAGACCAGTGGGTGGTGTGGTAGTTAAGGCGCTGGGCACTCCCACATGGCCAACCACAGTTTGAGTCCTGGACCTGGTGGCTTATTTTCTCACTTTTCCTCTCTCTCTCTGTGTCTTTCTCTGCAAAATAAAATAAGTGAATAAATAAATAAAATTAAATAAATAATTAAAAATAAAAGAATGATCATACTTGGGCCATTCTGTTGTCTGATGGTGAATGTGCTGGATCTCACATTGTTGCAGAAAAGCAGATGCCAAGGAATGGAAAGCAGCACTTGGAGAGACTAGGAGAACTGTTTATTATGCCAACGGGTATGGAGGAGTTAACACTCACAATCTCCAGCCCCGACTTGGGGGTTGGACACGGTCTTTTATTGGGGAACAGGAAGTCTCAGGGTGGAGATGGGCTCAGATCCTGCCCTATACAGCATCAAAGGGGGAGGAGTCAGAGAAGCAGAAGTCTAATCTATTCAAGGTACCAATCTATTCAAAGTACTAATCTATTCAAGGTACTAATCCATCTAAGGTTTTCAGGTTACCCTGTAGCTCCAGGGAGGGGCAGTAAGTTTGCTGGAGGGCAGAAACCTTAGACACTGTCAGCCTTGAGTTATTAGTCATAGAATTTAACAGTTTATAATTTAGGTGCTCCTCCAAGATGGAGTCGCTCCTTCAAGATGGAGTCATGCCTGCTTCATTGTGGTTTGACTGACTGAGCAGTTTGAGTCCCAGATGCAGCAGCTTGAAAAAAACACTCTAGATACATGTATGTGGTCTCCTATAAAGTGTGATGAACAGTGATAAAAGACCCCATGTGAATGGCTAATATCTTTGGTTCTTGAGATAAATGGACCTAGATATAATTTTGAGTTCCTTAATCTGTGTGGATTTGGGCAAATGAACTTCTCCAAATCTCTAGAGACTGCTTGAGAGTGTTGTAAGAAGGATTAAATGAAACAACACAGCGTAAAGTACTCATCATTGTAGTGGATACGTAAAAAGCACTTAATGAATGGTAGCTGCTGTTCTTGCTATGTTTACTGCCAGTTAGGTTAAAGTTGTATTTTTTGGAGTTTTAAGAGTAGATGAAGGTTGAGCCAGCAGGTGTGTGGTGATTAAGGTGCTCGACTCCCCAATGGCTGACCATGGTTTGAGTCCCAGACTTGGTGGCTTGAAAATCACTCCAGGTGTGTGTGTGTGTGTGTGTGTGTGTGTGTGTGTGTGTGCCCAAAATCCCGAGAAGAGCATGGAGGAGAAGGGATTGCGGTGCTGCGGTGATTTCTTACTTTCCCTCTGTCTGTCTCTTTCTGGTGATCGTACACGTCCTATGGCTAACATCTGACAACAGGAAAAAAAAAAGTAGGTGAAGGCTGGCTTTGGTAGTTATGGGTAACATCAGTGAAAATATTTTTGTTGAAAATTTTTGCAAGATCTTACTTCTTTTCTTTTCCTTTATTTTTTCTTTTCCATTCTTTATTCCATTTCTTTCTCTTGTCTTGCCTACGAGGTAGGTTAGAGACATAGGTATAGAAGTATTAGAACCGAGTACTTTTGTCAGGCAGGAGGTGAGAGTTGGTAAATTGGTATTTAAGATGGAGGTTAGGGGTGTGGTTAAGGCAGTAGACTTCCACATGGCTGACTGCAGTTTGAGGCCTGGACCCGGCAGCTTGAAAAATCACACTGAGTGAATATGTATACATGTCCAAAATCCTGAAAGAATGGAGGAGAAGGGATTTCAGTGTGGCCACCCCACCACCCAGGGGGTATTTTCTTACTTTCACTCTCTCTGTCTCTGTCTCTCTCTGGTGAGCACATGTACCCTGTGGTAAAAAACAAAAAAAAACGGAAAAACAACAACAACAAAAAGAAGGCTATGAAGGAGTGGATTGAGTATGAGCAAATATGAGAGACACCCTAGACTTAGTATAGATTTGCAAAAGCCATTTTAAAATTTTTTTTAAATTTTATTTATTCATTCATTTATTTTAATTTGACCAGGGAGAGACACATAGAAAGAGAGGGAAAGTGAGAAAGCAAGCCGCCAGGTCTGGGACTCGAACCGTGGTCGGCCATGTGGGAGTGTCCAGTGTCTCAACCACCATGCCACCTGTTGGCCCCTGCGTGACCCATTTTTAATTGACTTTGTTGGCATTTGTATGCTTAAATAAGGTAGTATCTACAAGTCAAATATTCAGATACTTAATGTGTGTGTGTGTTGTTGTTAGTGAACAATTAGAACATCATTTTCCTCCTTCACATTTCATATTAAGAAATGTTACAAATTCCTTTATGAGGCATGCAGATAGTAAAAAATTAACCTTTTTCTCCCTTCTTTGTGTGTGTGCTCATGCCTGTATGCTTTGTCACTTTTCTTTTGGCTGCTGACGTGTGCTGACAGGGAACAAGTATTGGAATGATTGCTTTAATTCAGCCTGAATGAGATTGTCCACTCTGAACGTCATGCTGGCCTTAATCAGTCTGAAGTACTTCCTTCCTGCTTTGGGGAAGACTGCATACTGACATAGCCTCCTTCCTGCTTTAAATCAGCCGTGATAACAGCAGGACATAAGCACAGCATAAAAGAGGAAGTAAGTAGGGGACCATTATTTACATTATTTGGAAGAGACTTACAGAGTTTCAATCTAAAGTTAGAATGACAGACAGATGGCTATAAAAGCCTGTAGGTATTTTCTATTACTACTCTACATTTACGATCCCAACTTAAGTGCGTTCCTTTCTCAGAGCTTAGAAGAACAAATACCTGCTCACTGAGGTAGCAGTCGTTTCCTGAAAGATTGTGTGGCATCCAGTCATATATTTTGTTAATTGTCAGAGGGTACATGTGCTCACCAGAGAAAAAGAGAAAGGGAGCGGGAGAGGGAAAAAGCTCCACCCCCCAATGTGGTGTGGTGATGCCAAAATTCCTTCTCCATTTCTCCCTCTCATCAGGCTTTGGGGCATTTACATACATATGCCCAACATGGTTCTCAACTGCTGCGGCTGGGACTCGAACTGTGCCATCAGCTCTGTGGGATCCAGCTCCCTTAACAGCTAGTCCATGGGGCTGACCTCATTTAATCTTTTTCTTTCATTTTTAAAAAAGAATTATTCATTTCATTTTACTTATTATTTTCAAATTTTGCTATAGGGCACATGTACTCAGCAGAGAGAGACAGAGAGAGAAAGTGAGAAAGCAAGCCACCAGGTCCGGAATTTGAACCACTGTTAGCCATGTGGGAGTCCAGTACTTTAACCACCATGCCACCTGCTGGCTCCCTGCGTTCAGTCTTATTATGGTTCCTCATTTGACATCTTTGAAAATTTTTCTCATCCTTAAAATTGGGATGACCTAGCATTCTCTTACTTGTTATATAGGGAAAAGATAATACCTCTTAGTACAAATTTGGCTTATAAAATGTTTAAGTTCACGTATGCATTTGTTATAAGTAATAAAAATTTATTAAATTATGTTATACACTGTTTTGTAAATGCCTTTTTTTTTGACTGGAGGACATAGATGGTTGCCAGTGAGAGACAGAGAGAGACACAGGGGGAGATATAAAGCACACCCCAGTGGGGCACAGATGTGCTGCAGTCCTTTCTCATCCATTCTGTCAGGATTTTGAACACACACACACACACACACATACACACACACACTCGCTTCATGTGTTTTTCACGCTACCAAGTCCAGAACTTGAACTGCATAGCCAACCACTTGGGACTTGGATCCCTTAACCACGAGGCTTCTGTACCAGCTCAGTAATTA